ATCCGAAAATATAAAATTAGTTCCTGCAAACACTAAATTTTTTTTTAATAACATTGTATTATTATAATTTTTTAATTTCTTCTAATATGTAGACCGATTTAAAATTTGCACTAATAAAGTGCAATCAATCACAAAAAAAACTTAAATACTAGATCTGATTGTAGCTTTTTATTTACTACTGGAGAAGTAAAATTACATTTGTAAAGTTATTTTGTTGTAGAGGCATAACATGTTAGCTTATTGAGGTAAAGAGTAATAAGTTAAATATGTTGTGCAGGTGTTTTATAGTGGAAAAGTTTTGATTTCATGGCCTAGATAGGTTGGAAAAAACTAATGGTTTTGTGATTGTGATGAAAAACTCTGATTTGGGAAGTCCAATGAGGAAATCTAGAATAAGATTGGCAAGTGAATGAAATGAGAAATATAAGTAGTTAAAAAATAAAGTTAAAGTAAAAAAAATGTAGCATAAGCGAATGAGAACAAAAAAGTATGATTGCCCATTTGAGTTACATGAGATTGCATTGCCAATGGATGATGAATGAGATGTTAAATTAGTTTACGGGTTTCATAATCATCTGCCAACAAAACAATTAGAGGGATATTTATTTGTAGGACAATTATCTGAAAAGAAAAAGAGAATAGTGGTTGATATGTTAAATAGTATGGTAAGATCTAAAAACATACTATTGACCCTAAAACAACATAATGGGAATAATGTTAGCATTATAAAGACTATATATAATGAATGTTAGAAACATAGTTATATAGAGAAAGGTGGCAGATTAAAAGCGCAACAACTCACAAAAAGTTGACCAATTGTAAATACGTTGAGTGGCTTAAGGCTAATGACTTAATTGGCTGTGTGAGAGATTTGTGCTGGGCTCATCCTATTGGTATAAATTTGTTGTATGCCTTCCTAAGTGTAATGATTGTTGATTGCACCTATAAAACAAATAGATACCATCTCCCACTGCTTGAGATTGTTGGTGTGACTCCCACTAAGATAACATTTTTTATTGCATTTATGTACATAGAGGTCGACCATTATGACAACTACTATTGGACAATAGATATATTAAAAAAATTTGATGTCTCTAGGTAAATTTTTTACTGTCATTGTTATTGACAAAGATTTAGCATTAATGAATGCCATGGAGGTTGTTTTTCCTGGCACAGTAAATCTTTTGTGTAGATTTCACATCTTAAGAAATATGTTTACGAATTGTAAAAAGTTTTTTTGAATGTGAGGAGATGTAGGAGGCATTTATGTTAGGCTAGAGTATTCTTGTATTTTTTTCTACCGATGATGAATAAGAAAGACTTTTGAGTTCACTGTAAATTAATTACTAGACTTATCCAAGTACAATAAAGTATGTGAAAGAGTAATGATTGATAGAGTATAAAGAGATATTTCTTGCTTCTTAGATGGATAAAGTAATGCACTTTGATAATGTTACAACAAATAGATACGGTTTATGTTGTATTTTTTTTATATTATTTGTGGTTTAAGATTTTCAGAATAAAACATCCATTATAATATACCTTTATTAATTTGTTTAGAATCGAGAATGTACATATTAAATTAAAAAAGTACCTTGGATCATCTTAAAACAATTTTGAGTCATCATAGAGGATAATTAATGTCCTTATTGAGCTCCAATAGACAAAGATAAAGACTTCTTTTAAGAGAAGTCTTACGATTATAGAGCATAATTAAAGTTCATTATTAAAGAGTTTGAGGAATTGGTATTAAAAATTACCTTGTTATATATTGATGATAGGCCCAAGCAGCAAATTTCATTTGGATTGGACAAGTTAAGCTTGTGGTTGCTTTATTAGAGGCATGCATATATTATCTTGTGCTCAGAAAATTGCAAAGCATATAAAGGTGGGAAGTTTAATTTCTTTATTTGAAGTGCATCCTCATTAGAGGAAGTTGGATTTAATCCAATGTCAAGTTAATGATGTCTTTGAAGAGTTGACCATTGTATTCGAGGTTGATCAAATTATAAAAAGCTTCAATGAATGTAATGAGTTCTATAAATTACCCATGAAAAGAAAGTTACGAGAACTTGGTGATCAGTCAACAACTGCCCTAATTCCACCATTAGAAATGGCTAAGATAAAAGATTGCAGAGCTATAAAAGCAGATACCTCTACATGTGATCTAACCTATCACATTGAGAAATTATGTTATCTATTCAAGATAATACATCACCACCAACCATTACGCATTTAATGAAAGTGACAACACAGATTAATAAACTTCTTGTTCAGCATCTTAATGGTAAATGAAAAATGTGATATATGAATAGTTTACCAATGGAGTTACATCTGTATTTATAGGGTATCATTGATGTTAAGGTAGATGGATATTGTAGTTTTTATTTTATTATTGGATTGCTTAGATTGTAATTAGATTATTAGATATAGGTGCGACAAGATTTAATTGATAAGCTTAATTGATATTATGGCGAATATATGACTTTGTATGAATCCATAGAGCATATGGAAGAATTATTAGAAAAATTATCGTGTTTCAATATTTGTGCCCTATACGATAAGTGGATGACTTACTTGATATGGATCATTTGATTACCTCATGGTATAACGTCGTGCTAGTCCATATCAGTTTGATATAGTCTCTAACATATCTCCTTATTAGATCTATACCACCTACACCATTGGAATACAAAGTCATTATGATTGGATTTATTAATGATTGTTTTTTTATGCAGGTTTTGATAATTTGATTTGATACTTACCATTTATATCATTAATAAACATATTATACTTATTGTTTATATCTTGCACATGTGTTAATGAAATCATTCTCACCAATACCTTCAATTGTATGCAATTGGTGTTAGATTCATTATAATTGTGCTGGAGGATAGAAGGCTTCCTATTTATCTTGCATTAAGAATTTCAAGTTATTGTTTTGTAAAAACTATAATGTGGCAACTCAAGAAACAATACACAATGATTGGTTAGTTTGGATATGTTAGTTCGGGTTGTGTTAAAATAATCATGTTATGTAATGGATGTGTTATATTGAATAGTTTATATAAGTTTTTTTATATTGAACAGGGTATATAATGGATGTGATACATTGATTAGGTTATGTAATATTGTCATATTAATAAGAACAATATATAATACTGCCATATTATATAAAGATAACAAAGTTACAAAATCGTATCAAATGTTTTAGGTATACGTACAATACCTTACTCTTCCTTCGACCTTTTGAGTCAAAGATATACAAGTGGATAACAGGTTATGATGTCATCATTATAGTGGGTGGGGAGATTTCAAGCATGGCTGATACTATTGTCGATGTAGTGGGGAGGAGCTAGTTAATGCAGTAACCGATAAGCTTTTAAGTAATGCAGATGCTGTCGTCGATGCTAGGGTCTGGGTGGTAGGCTGAGAACAGGCACTGGTGGTCTAGGTGGTGCATGTGTAGATGATGGTGGTGGGGTGAAAATGGTCATGAGCAATCTAGGTGGATCATGTGTCGATGATGGTGGTGGAGTTGATGTCTAATGTGATATTATCAATCTAGACTAATTACTACTAGTTGCTGCAGTTGATGACCCAGACAATTTAACATGTGCTTTGATAACTGCATATCTCCATATATTAACATTTTACTGTAATCCATTTTACAAAACATGCTCAAGCAAAAACAAAATGATCGAGTTCTACTACAAAATATTAATAAGGTAATCAATATCGATAACATATAATTAAAATTAACAAAGTAATTAGTAATCATAAACTCAAAGTTTATGACTTATAGTACCATTGATAGGTTGAGATTGAAATCTAGAACATAACTGAAATCCAAATCTATGTTTTGAATTTTGAATTTGATGATGTGAAATTGATGTAAAACAAACATTATAATATGATAAACATTCATTTGGTCTTTGACATCTTCGACTTTAATGCTCTAACGACACAAATGCATATCCCATTTCTCCCAATACTAGTTTAGAAAGCTATATACAACATTATACATGTTGGATGATAAACCTCGCTCAATTTAAGATGAGGCTAAAGGAGTTAGAGGAATGGTCTGCATAAATTCAAACTGTTGTAGAAACTTCTCCAAATGATATGGCTTTACAATGACCTGACACTTAATACATCTTGTAAAAAATATAATATCATGTAACGAATAACCTTAAAAATTGTAGAACCCTAAACAATCGTATAAATAATTGAATATACAAACTAAATAAGCAATTGAATCTTACCTAAACTTGTGATTTTAAGGTTGAATAGATTGTTGATGATTGAATTTGGGGTGGATTTATGGTGCAATGGAGAGAATTAATAAAAGAGGGAAAGAGAAAGAATAGGTGAAAGGTTATGAGTGGAAATCTAAAATATTGAATTGGAATGTAATGAGTAAAAAAAAAAAATTTTATTTATAAATTTGTGTGTGTAGTAATTAGGCTTATATAAAAAATAGGGGATGTACATAAAACTTTCCAAATTGAGCAAAAAGAACAAAGATAATGATGAACAAAAGTCGGTTTAAATCGATTAGATCGATTGAAATCAAGTGAATTCGATTAAATCGGTTTAGTTTATTCAATTTTGGTTATAATCGATTTTTTAAATCGATTAAATTGATTAATTTGGTCAATTTTTAATTTTTAAAATTGATAATCGAACTAATTGAATTAATCGATTTTTTAATAAGTAAAGATAAAAAAATTAAGATAAATATATATATTTTTATAAAATATTATTGAAATTATTAAAATTTTTATATATTTAATGTAAATGATACTTGAATTTAAATTTTATTGAATTTATAATTAAATAATTATTTATAATAAAAAATAATAAAAAATAATTATTTAATCAAACTAATCGAATCGAGTCAATTTTGATCAATTTAATTATAATCAATTATTTAAAAATATTTTATTGATTCGATTATTTATTAAATAAAATTAATTAAATTGATTATTGATTTTTTTCAAATCAAATTTATCAGACCGATGAATTGCTCACCCTAAACGAAAAGAATAAAATGAAACCGAAAGGCATTTTCTTATAGTCAAACTGAAACCTGGCCAAAGCAATCGAACAACCCACTTTCAAACTCAAAAAGTTCTTACAACAAAGCATCCCATCTCTCTCTCGAAGTTATTCTCCTCTTCTCTTTCGTGCTCTTCGCCTTTCCCAACAGGTAATCACCCCTTTCTTTGTAATAATTTCTTCCTTTTCTTTATATTCGAGAGAACCCTAGATCTTTTGTCCTTATTTTTTTTCTCTGTTTCTGTTAATTTCTTTTATCTATATTGTTGTCTTTTGCATAACGAAGTCAAGGGTGGTGAAAAATGAAATGGTTTTTTTTTTAAGAAAAAGTGATTTTTTTTTAAGAAAAAGTGATTTTTTTTTTCTAAAAGGCTTGATTTTTGTGTGATTTTATTTCACATAGGACGTTGGTTTTGTGCATAAACAAGTCAAGGATGGAGAAAAATGAAGTAGGTATTTGCTGGTTTTGAAGCAAAAAGGTAAAATTTTTGGTTCAGAGGCCTGATTTTTGTGTAATTTTGGTTCACGTAGGAGCTTGGTTCTGTGCACAAACAGGTTAACTGAAGTGGGTATCTCTTGGTTTTGGAGAAAAAGGAAAATACTTTGGTTGAAAGGCTTGATTTTTGTTTGTAATGGAGGGAGGGCTAGGTGGAAACACCGTTCCGCCAAATTCAATGGATAAATCTAAAGTATTAGATGTAAAACCACTACGTACCTTGGTTCCTTTGTTCCCAGAGGCTTCTGAGGGTACTCCTTTTGTTTGTGTACCTCCTAATGGCCCTTTCCCATCTGGGTTTTCACCATTTTTCCCCTTTAGTGGATCACAAGGATCCCAATCTACACCTGACCTTAACCAAAATGACTTCAATTCAACTGCTGTGCCGCTTCGGTCGTTTAGAGCAGAACCTAATGGCCAAAATACGTATGGCAGTCATAAACACAAATCAGCTGGATCAAGTTCTGTTAAAAAAAAAGCAAAGAGGATCAAAGATTCGGAGTTTGTATTAACTGCTCTTAGTAATTTCAATCCTGGAATTAGTTTATCTGAACGAGATGATGGTAACAGGGAATTGGTTGAGAATGTGCTTTTGAGGTTTGATGCGCTTAGGAGAAAGCTTAGCCAAATGGAAGATGCGAGGGAATCACATTCTAGCATTACTAAGCGTGCAGACTTGAAAGCTGGCAACATGATGTTGAGCAAAGGGGTTCGGACTAACATGAAAAAGAGAATTGGGGTTGTTCGTGGTGTTGAAATTGGGGACATTTTCTTCTTCCGGATGGAGTTGTGTTTAGTGGGGTTGCATTTTCCATCCATGGCTGGAATTGACTACATGGTTAACAAGGGTGATTTAGAGGGAGAGCCAGTGGCTTTAAGCATTGTTTCATCTGGAGGGTATGATGATGATGCTGAAGATCCTGATATTTTGGTATATAGTGGTCAAGGTGGGAATGCCAGTAGAGATAAAGAAGCATCTGATCAGCAGCTTGTAAGGGGCAATCTTGCTTTGGAAAGGAGCTTGCACCGAGCCAATGAAGTACGAGTCATTCGGGGTTTGAAGGATGCTATCCATCAAACGTCTAAGGTCTATGTATATGATGGGCTTTACAAGATCCAAGAGTCATGGATGGAGAAGGGGAAATCAGGTTGCAATATGTTCAAGTATAAATTGGTAAGGGTCCCTGGGCAGGCAGTTGCTTTTGCCACTTGGAAATCTATTCAGAAGTGGAAAGAAGGTCTGTCTTCAAGAGTTGGACTTATTCTTCCTGACCTCACTTCAGGTGCGGAAAGCATACCTGTTTCACTTGTAAATGAGGTTGATGATGAAAAGGGGCCTGCTTACTTCACATATTTCCCTACTGTCAAATATTCGAAATCATTCAAATTAGTGCAACGTACTTTTGGCTGCACTTGTCATGATGCATGCCAAGCAGGAAATTCTAACTGCTCCTGCATTCAAAAAAATGAATGTGATTTCCCTTACACTGCCAATGGGATTCTAGTTTGTAGAAAACCCATGATATATGAATGTGGTCCCTCATGCCCATGCTTTCGTAACTGCAAAAACAGAGTTTCACAGACTGGTTTTAAAGTTCACTTAGAAGTTTTTAAGACAAGGGATAGGGGTTGGGGTCTGCGGTCATGGGACCCTATTCGTGCAGGTACATTTATCTGTGAATATGCGGGTGAAGTTATTGATGAAATTAAGGCAAGGCAGGATGGGGGAGATGGTGAAAACAATGAGTATGTTTTTCATACAAACCGTCTCTATGAATCCTTCAAGTGGAATTATGAAACTGAGTTAGTAGGAGAGGAAGGTTCTGACAGTACTGAAGATTTTGATATTCCATCTCCCCTAACCATAAGTGCAAAGAACAGTGGAAATGTAGCTCGATTTATGAATCATAGTTGCTCTCCAAATGTTTTCTGGCAGCCAATCATGTATGAACATAACAATGAAGCTGTCCTCCATATTGCTTTCTTTGCAAAGCGACACATTCCTCCTATGACAGAGTTGACATATGATTATGGTATTCCACACTCAAATGAGACTGAAAGTAACAATGCAGCATATGGAAGAAAGAAATGCTTATGTGGATCACCAAAATGCCGAGGTTATTTTTATTAAGGTTTAGGTTGCATGCCTGTATTCCGTAGACAGGCAAAACTTTTGGCTTTTTGAAAGAGGTTTGGGACCTCACTTGTCTTTGTCTAAATTATGCAAGTCTACATGCTTTTATGTTTAATGTATATAGCTTGTACTAGGGGTACTGATTGTTCTTATGCTTTTAGTGCCCTTACATGCAGAAGAACTGACAATGTATGGAAACCATGTATGATGGTGTTTTTGTAGTCTATATAGCAGAATGTCAATGTATGGTTCTGTTACATAAGATATGGCAAATTACTTGGTATTCACTTTCATCCTTGTTTTTACCTGTCCTTGACTCTATGCAAATGAATTGGTTTCCAAGTTTTTATGCTCTTAGTAAAATTTCCTACATGACAAGTATGATATCATTTTATGCATTGCACATTCACATCAAAGATGCTTTCAAGAAAAGGCTAGACAGGTTAGAGACATGAAACTTTAAGACCAAGTTTTGATGTTAGAAATTAGGCTTTGGGTGATAGTGTGCCATTTTTTTTATTGGAAACACAATATTTTTATCTGAATTGACGGCATTTCCTTTTCCCTGATTTGCAAGTGGCATAACCTTTTGAGTTGGCTTCCCTTGTATATCTCTGCACTTATTTTGAGGGTGCTTTATTAAGCAAAACAAGGTAAATTCATATTATATTGGAGTCCTTTTAAGTTATAAAGAATTAGCTAAATCTTATTACTACAATTTATAAAAGATTTAGCCATCCAAAAAAATAATTTTTCTTTATAAGCAAAACAAGTTCAAAATGAAATTTTAAACTTTAGCAATTAGGGTGTTCACTGAAAAGACATCTAATTCAATGGAATAAAATTTCTAACTTTTTATATAGCTATAATTTAAATTTTATTAACAATTTACTTGAATAAAAAATTCAAGATTAATAAAAAAATAAATAAATAAATTAGTCTATATATATTTTTTCCCATTCATTTAGACACCAAATGAGTTCAAGGTTTTTTTTTTTTTTAGACAAATGGATGTTCAAGTCATCAAGTGGGATGGTAAAAAACTATTTATTAAAACTTTAGTAATTTGTTGGTTCAAGGCTCCGAAGGCCAACAGTCAAAGATCCAATTATTAACCTCTTCAGATATCCCGAAGAAATATTGCTTCAAGGAAATGCTAGTCACATCAAAGTAAGTTCGGTAGGAATAAAACAGAGCCTAAACCAGACAATAACTAAAGAGGCACACAGTGAATTGATGCATATTAATTTTGGTAAATTTAATTACCAATCTAGAATGATATAAAAAATTTTGAGGGGTCGTGTTTAAGGTTAAGGTTTTGCTTGATAAAGCGAAAAGAAAAATGAAAAGATGAAAAATTAGAAGAGAAGAAAAGTAAAAAGATGGAAAACATTTTTTTTTTCTTTTCATTGAATATTGATGTGCATGGTTGAAAAGATAGAAAAATTAAAAGAAAATATAATTTTCTTTTTATTCATTGCTTGGTAAAATTGAAAAATGAAAGGAAAGGAAGTGAAATTTACGTGATTTTATTATTATAATTTTTTGTAAATTAAGATGAAAAAAATCTAAATTTGATGAACAATTTTATAAATACGTAATACATTCTTATATCTCTTTCATTTTCTCTCTCTCTTTCTTTTTTTTTTTTTAAAATTTAGAGTGATATGTTTTTGTTAATAAGTGTAAAAAAATAATAATCTTTCCTATTTTCTTTCCTTTCATTTTTTTTATCAAGCACACTTAAAAATTATTTTCCTTCCACTTTTCTATTCACCTTTTTCCATCCTTCTATTTTTCTACTTTACCAAGCACAGTATAAGAGTCGATTGCTTGTTACTTTTCGATGTTGTTGTATCCTTTGTTTTATCTATTAATTAAAAAGATTGATTTTCCAAAAAAAAAAAATTGAAACTTTATGATTTTAAAAGTTAATGATCTTGACTAGTTTCTCTCTAAAATTTATGCCATGCATACCAATCTTCCCAACAATCCTTAGCAACCTTACAAGAAGAAACCATAAAAAATTTTCTACATTGTCAACTTTACTAATGATTAAAAAACGACTCAAGGGGATTGCATAAGTTAAAGCTTCAAGTCTAGATAGAAAACTATCTACTTCAAGCCTTCAAAGGCAATGAAGCAATTCATCACTAGGATTCGGGGTTTTTTTTTTTTTTTTAATGTTTAATGCAGAAAATTTTGAACTGTTTCGCCAAGTGAGAAGCCACCAAACAAAACAAGAAAAGTTTACTGTTAATACTTAATAAGAAAATAAATAATTAGTAAATATTTTAATTTAATAAAAAAATTAATTACAGACAAAATAGTTAATATATGTATTTACTATTTGTAGTTTGTAGTTTTGGGGTTCGTTGTTTTATAATAGATTAAAGCCTTATTTGAAAAACCATTGAAATTTTTAATTGCATTAAAAATGAAAATTTTCAATACTTTAATTTTTTAATGGTTTGTAGCACATTTTAAAGTCCACTTAAAATAAATTTTTTTTTCAACCAAAATGTATTGAATAAGATAAGTAGGTATAGATTTACTTATCATTTAATGTAGAAAATGTTCAGTAAATTTTTATTTTAAAATTTTTTGAATTATTATCCCTTAAAAACACTATTTAATTATCTACAATGAAAATAAAAGTAAAATAATAAAATGATAAATTTTTACAATTTAATATTTTACAGCTATCAAATAATATATTTAATTTAACATTTAATTTTCAATAAAATATCAAACAGTTTTTATAATTCAAATTCAATACTTATCCTATGTAATATTCAGTACTTAAATTTTTAGTTTATATATAAAAAAAAAAAACCTACGTCTTGGTTGTGGATGGATTCTATTAAAAAAATAATAAATTTAAAATAATAATAATAATAATAATAATAATAATAATAATAATAATAATAAGAAATTGGTATTTGCAATTATATGTGCTAATCCTTATCATGATCTTTTGATCTGTTTTAATAATGTGGAAAATCAAAAGGTTAAAGGTAAAAATGATAGATTGAGAAAGAATGTCAAAAACAATTCAATAATGACTTTGTCTCAACTTAAAGAGGAAAATGGAAACTGGGAATTGAAACTATTGGTGCAAATTGATGCTTTCCATTTGATAATCGCTAGAAAAAATAAAATTGATGTAATTAATTCTTCTATTGAATTTTATAACCACATATCCTCACGTGCAATATTTAAAAAAGAAATATGTCTGAAAATTTGATCATTAGATGTGAAAATAAATCGATATTAATATTTTTATTAGGTATGATTAATCACTTAATTAAATTTATTATTTTTAAAAAAATTTAAATTTGACTAAAGTTCTTTAAAGGAATGAGTTTTAGTTTACATATCATAACTATATTTAAAAATTCGGTTAAGTATGAGAAAGATATTATTACCCCACAATATTTGTTCAAAAATATCACCAATTACTCTTATATTATCACATCATATTGTTTGTCCAATAATGTTACTAATTACTCTTAAATTATCCGAAAGTAACCTCAATTAAAAGGTTTTTTTTTATTCTAATTAATTAAATCTCATTATTTAAATATTGGAAACCTTTTCAGGTTTTCCTCAATATTTTTATAGAATTTTTTTAAAAAATTTCTTTTGCTTTAAGAGTATTCAAAATAATTCATTTGTTCACTTGAATAAACTCAATTATTGAATTTATTTTGTATTTTATGAAAAGATTTTTAAATTCCCTCATCAATATTTCATTTTTCTTATTCGTTATAATTTTTTAATTTTTTCCAAGTTATTTATTTTTTTTTGAAAGTAAAAGTAAACTTTTTTTCTAAATTTCTAATATTATAGCAAATTCAAAAATATTTTCTTACTTAAAATTTTTTTTGACAAAAATGCATGTTCTCATTCTTTGTAGAATTTTATCACGAGTTAGATCTTCATTTATTCTAACATTTTTTATTAAGTGCACATGATAAAAAATAATGATGCAAGTGAGTTGATTTATTTTGTCATGTATATATAATTTTCATAATTATCGAGTCATTTGAAAATTTTTAAATAATTTTTTTTTATTTTTTATTTATAATCAATAATTAAAAATAATTTTGATAGACCTAAAACAGGTACATATTTAAAACAAATAAAGCATAAACGTGTAAGTAATTTTAAATTTGAATAAACAAATAAAGGTATTAAAAGAGTTTTTAAAAATGCACCACCAATATAGTGTCCATAGACATAATAATATATAATATGTGATTGAAATTTGAATATTAAATGCATTAGTTAATCTCTTAATTTATAGTTATAAAGTTTAACGTTATTATCAATATTAATTGATGCAATTATTTTTAAAAAGTAATAACTAACGTATACAAATTTAAATTTTATAGTCTAATTTCTTTTTTATTTTCATATTGTAAATTTCTTTATAAAAAAAATATAGCATCAAATTAAGGGGTTTATCAATTAAATTGAAGAACCATATCTGCTTAGAGAGATTGTTGATTACTACAAGGAATTAAAGTGTGAGTTAAACAATCAATTTAATCAGGTCAATCTTCAACGAGATTAATTGTCAGATAAATTGATAGTGTGTAGACTTGGTACATTATAAGTTTATCATCATGACCCTTTATGTCTTTAAAGGGTAAAATTATATATTGTTTTACCTAAAACTTATTCATCTAACCACGAAAATAGTTTAAATCATTATAAACTTGCTCAAATAGAATGCAACTTTTTTTTTTCCTTTTGCATCTCTGCTGAAAATTCTAGGAGCTATGTCATGCATCTCACAAGTATATTTTGTTATGGGTTAGTTAATGTCATGAAGGGTGTCTAAACTATAATAAAATATGTAATGTGGTATCTAAATTTTAAAAAATATTTAATGTAATATTTGAATTATTAATTTATTAACTAATGTGGTATTTAAAGGGTTGTTGTTGATCACGTATCATCATTTGAAATTAAACGTGTTAAATGTGAATATTATATTAATTAATAAATTTATAATTTAAATGTTATATTAGAAAATTTAAAATTCAAATACTACGTCAAATATTTTATTATAATTTAAGGTCTATTCATGATATTAATCCTATTCTAAATGATTAAGTTACTCAAACAACACGATCTTCCAATGAGCTAGATTAATTAGAAAACAATATCCATGAGGTCTATGAGCATACAATACATAAATATGATGAGTTACACCCAAAACACAAGTTCAAATGGAAGAGATTTCCAACCACCAAGTTTTAATTCATGCCATGGTTATAGCTTAATTATTACATACTTAAAACACATCAAGCTCCAGCATCCCAAGCTACGTACGGATCGAAAAGGCAGCCAATAAGGTTTGAGCTAAAGTGAGAACAAGCAATATAATTGCAGCAGTTGTAGAAGCACTTCTCCAGGGTGTGCTAAAATACTGACTCCTTAGGGCTGCTTTCCAGCTATGCCAGGGTTGGTCGTGGTATTTATTCAACTCTTCTATAAGATGGAAGAAGCTTGGGTTAATCAATCCTTTAAGAATATTTACGCAAAGACTATTAAACAAGCTGGCCACTTCATTACTACTTCCAAGCCAATGCTTAATAATTTTCTTACCCACAAGTAAATCTGCATCGTCGCTTGTGTCAACAAGGTAATCCATAAGTGTGAAATAGTCACTTATGATTCTTTCTTGTGGATAGTGATATTGCTCCAGGGCGATGATGTTGCGGAAACGAATTCCTGTTTCATCCCATAGATGCAGAGATGGTATTTCAAGTCTTCCGTTGGAAAATTTTATGTCAAGCAAGCATTTGCTTTCGGTTGCACAGAACTTCACACCTGCTGCATGTAGGTGGGTTGCGCTGGGTAAATGTTGTTCTAAACTTAGAAGTTGGTTTTCAGATATGGAATTTTGTTCCTTGTCCTGAAAATTTCCAGATGATGGTAGAAGGAAAGCTCTTAGCAAATCTGTGAAATGATTTACTTTTCCTGTGAATGTGATGGACTCCTTATTCTGATCATTGTAAATCTTGAAAACGTTGATTGAAAGTTCAAGGAAGGGAGGGTAAATATCAGGACAAAAGCGGAAGGCCGAGTTATATAGCTCTTCAAGAACAAAGAATGGCAGTTGATTTTCTAGTAGCCACAGATCATTCCTTATGAAAACCAACAGATAAGTCGGTGGTTGAAAGGTATCCCAGTAGCTTTGAAAATGCAACCCCAGGAAGAGCTCAATGATGAAGGCAGCATCCACAAGAATAAGCCTCACAAACTCTTCACTGCCAATATCATTCAAGTTCTCCCCGTAACTACCACGGATGTCATTTTCCAAAGATTTTAAAATGCCGAGAAAATTATCCAAACAGGAGAAGTCATTGGCTCTTTCAATCTGATGATCAATTTCTTTCGAACCAAGAAATGACAGTAGCTCTTCCAAGCTGGTAAGTCCCTGCTGCTCATGCAACCTAGCAGTCTTGGCAGCATGTTCAAGGAATTTGTGTAGACATTTGATTTTTGTCTCGTTCATTCCCTTCAAATGTTTTTGGAAACGATGTAGAGGACCGATTGAGATGATTTTCGGGGTGAAGGCTGCACAATCCACATCTCGAAGTACATGCGCTCGGTAGATACAGCAAGGACGAGATAAATTAGGACACCTCTGGTTGTTGATTAAATTTTTTATGTTAATCTCCCAATCTTTGACAGAATCTGAAAAATGCTCTTCTCTTTCGCTTTCCACGATGTCACCTTCGTCTAACAATTCCTTTCTTAATGAACCATTTGTTTCTTCTTCAGTTTCCCGATTTTCCAGCTGGATGATACTTGCCATCTTTTCAAGTTGCTTTTGCTGAAACTAATCAACTGTTGCATGCCCCATAATTGTACGTAAACAAAAGGATAAAGATAATACCTACCATTTTATTATTTAAATATTTAAAAACACTTTATATTTATCGAATATTATTTCATTTTACATAATAATTTTTAATTACCATAATTTTAAATGGAATAAACTTGAAATGAGTACAATATGTCACCATAACAATTTTTGATTTCTCAAATTTAACATAAATATTTAAAAATTGTCGTCTTATATTACAAATTTAACATAAATATCCAGTGCTTTTTCCAAAGGTCATTATTATTATTATTATTTTACATTTTTATTTTCTTATATATAATATACGTCTATTATACTATTTTATTTTATTTTCTTACATTTTTTTACATTATTATATTTTATACTACTTTATTCACATAATCTATTGCTTTATCACTTTTCAAAATTTTTTTAAAAATACATCATTGAAAAAAATTACTAGTTATAACAATGGATTTGGAATGTAATAGAAAAAAAAAATACTTTTATGGTTATTAGATTTTATTTATTTATTTTATTAGTTTATATGTGATTAGTATCTTATTTCATAAATATTTTTTTACCCAATTAAATTATACTATATGGTTGTTATATTATGAATTATGATGATGAATTAATAATTTTTAGCCAACAATGGTGCATAACAAAACTTAATCTCATTTTTGTTTTTTTTTTTTTTTATCATAGATAATAATAATTGTTTTTCCATAATAAACAATATAATTACTCACTTGTCCTTTTATTTTATGAAATTTCAACATTACTCTTAAGCCGAAGCTTAACTTGATAAAAAAATTAAGAGTTTTTTACTTAATCATAATAATTCAATTTTTTATTTTCCAAAGTATTGTTCCAGAATTTAAATATTCAGTGTTCCAGAATTGACCTTAGCGTATGAGAATTCTTCGATATATACGAGTTCATTATATTATCTACTCCGAATTGAAATGATTAATGCTATTTGGTTGATTTTAATTGATCAAGGTTCTTTAAGTTGTTCTTTTTGTCAATAACAAATGAAGCAACCTGACTATTTTTATTTATTTATTTTTTTAAATAAAACAAGACGGGGAAGAGAGAAATTATTTTTAATTTTTTGGTGAAAACAAATATGGGAGATAACATGACAAAAATTACTATGAATTGAGAAATAAAATTAAAAACAATAGACTTTGGAAAATAAGCTTTTTTTTTTTTTTCGATAGGTGGAAAATAAGTTTTTGAATTACTATAATCAGGTAAAAGAAACTCTATTTGGAAATTTATAAATTATATACGTAAAGAATTATAATCTAAATGCAATTTTTGCTAAAAAAAAATAAAAATCTAAATGATCTAATCTCAACTGTATACATAAAAAAGAATTATAAAAATTCATTATCTTTTACGTTCAATGATAATTAATTTTTGAAAATTACAGTATTTCAATTTAAAACTTGATAATAATATAAACTAGAACTTTCTCCAGCTTCTCTATGGAACAAAATTATTTTATTTAACTATCTGCTTTTTCATTTTTAAAAATATGTATATTTTTGTACAGCTTAATTGATGTAATTAATTAAATTTAAAAAATAATATTAGCACTTAAACATTTTGTTTATTGATAAGTATGTATATCCATATCAAAAAGTTTTGGACCCATTTCCTCTAAAACTTATACTTAATGAAAGAAAGGTAAGTATGAAAATAATTTTTATGCATTACATCATTTTTATAAAATAAATAAATATTTTAAACATATTATCTAATCTTATTTAATTTAACTTAATATATTATTTTCAAACTTTCATTTATTTCTTTTTTGAAATTATAAATATGTATGAAATAAAATATATAATATATTGAAATAACGTATAGCATAAAAATAAATCAATTTTAATATTTATATTATAAATAATTAATATAATATAATATTTTATTTTTATATAATTGATTGATATTTGTTGTATTGGTTAAGTGCATATTTGTATGTAATCCTTTGCATATATTTAATTAAGAGCATAGTAATTTTTTGATTTCTTGAAAGTACGTGATTTTTTTTTTTTTTGAGTTAGTGATTTCTTTTAAAAAAAAAAAACTCCAAAAGGGCTTAATTGTTTGATTTTTGTAATTGAGACATTAATTAAAAAATAATATAAAAACTCAAATTTATTGTTTATAGGGCCGGTCATAAAAAAACACAAAAGCCCAACTTTTTAACTTGAAAGAGCATTAAAGGTCTCCTTTTTTAGCTCCAATGGGAGAATTGGGTTTCGTTGAGTATAATTATCATAATCCTATCGGACCGTCGATTCAACAGGATGAATTGGTGACACGGACTTAAATTGATCCCATTTTTTTACTAGACTTTTATATAATTAATTTGCTTTAAATCGTATTGAAACAACAATTCTATTAATAAATTGATAAATTGGTTAATTTTTTTATTAAATCGATTGAATTTTAAATTTATTAATAAATTGATTTTAAAAATTATAATTAACTTAATTTCTATAATTAAAATTACGGGTTGTTGTGTTATTTAATTAAAATAATATATTTTAAAGCAAAACAAAAAATAAAAAAATTAATTTATATTAATATAAGACTTTTTAATTTTACTTTTTTTAAACTACTGATTTTTTTGACTTGCTTGTTAGATTAAATCCTTTTTTTTGACGTATTTCTCTCCCTTATTTATTGAAATTAATAATTAAAAATATATAAAACTATGTATTTTTTTTTTGTACAACTTGATCTCTCTTAAAAAATCAAATAGTGTTGCCCTCTCCTATATATTATACGTACTAAAAATCAACTTTTAAAAAAATCCACTTCATCCCTTTTTTTTTTTTTTTAACAATGTTTTGCGTTCTTCAGTGCTTTAAGGTATTTACTTTTATTTGATTTTTTAAATTAATATGATTGAATTGTTTAACTGATACTTTGAGTGTTTGAATTTTAAATTCATTTTTGTAAGTTAAATTTATTATATATTTTTAAATATATATTTTTTCACACTTATTATATTTTTTTATATTTTAATTTTTAAGTATAAAATTATCTATAAAAAATTTTATTATTTATCACATAATAATTTTTTAAAAAATATTTAAATTTTAAATGTATTTATTAATTCAACAATTAATTTAATTAATCCAATAATTGAACCAATAATTTAATAACATGACATCTTAAACAATTTTTATTTTAATATAATTTAATAACTATGGTGATAAAATTAAACTCCACGTCATTTGAAATGGTAGCTATGGTTATAATCAAGACACATCATCATACTTTTATTAAGTTTCAAAATTTTATTTTTTTTTGTCAATTTTGCCCTCCAATCCTTCCATCTTTGGTTTTTCTCTTTTTCATATTCTCTTTCCATGATATTTTATATCTCTTAATGTTTTCTCTATAGCCAATCTTAGCTTTGCCTTTTAATCCCTTTCTTTTATCTGTTCTTGAAAAATTTTTAAAAACATCGATAGTTATCCAAATGATCTTTTTTATAGATTTGGATGTGATAGACAAAACTTTTATTTATCAAAGAAAAAATTGTCAACACTTGTTCAAATAAAAGGAATTGATTTGAGATGGCATTGCATAAAATCAGTTGCAAAATTTTGTGAAAATTCTCATTTTTTTTATCATCATGAAAAACTTCTTAAACATGGATTTAATAAAAAATTTTCCTGTTTCAAATGGATTTCGTCAAAACATTTTATTAAAATCATGAAATGAAAAAAAAGAAATTGATATATTAGCATTTTTAAATGGATTTATTTTTTAAAAAAAATGTTGCAAATTGAGTTTGGATTTTTAGAAGAAAAAAAAGAAAGAAAGAATGTAAGGGTAAAAATGTGTATTAAAATAATAAATTTAATTCAAATTAAAATTATTTAATTAAAATTAACGTTTAAAATAATAGTAGATAAAAACATAATTACAATAGTAGTTATATTCATACATAAAATATATTTACATTAAAAGTAATTTAAACATTTTTCATAAGAAATATTGGTTTTCACCAATAGTAATTAAAGCATTACTATGAAAAAGATAAAAATAATTAATTGTCAACCAAGTAACTATCTATGATATTATTGCTTTTTCAAAATAAAAACTTTAAAACACATTCGAAAAAAAGAAAAAGTTCAAAACATAAATTAGTTCATACTATTTAACTCAATTGAATTTCGTTTATTTTCGTTATGAATGAAGACAATATAAGATTCATTAAAAGAATACAAATAGAATATAAATTTATTTGTTGTTTAAACTCACATCAATTTTATTAATTGTCATTGTCACAATAGTGAGAGCATTTTCAGCAATAAAAAGACTCATTTACGTAATCAAAATGGAAATCAATCGTTAAATGATAATTTAATTGTATTCATTGAAAAAATGTGTTTAAAGTTATTGATAATCAAAATATTGTGGAACGTTTTTAAAATATAAAACTGTGTATGGTTGGATATGAAAGTTTTAATTTTTTATTAGTACTATTATCTTTGTTTTTTATATTTTTAAATTAAACCTCCACTGAATAAAATTTTCTTCGCCAAACTATGCTAAAAAACTTTGACAATAATAAAAATAAAAACACAAAAATCAAACAATCATACCAATTGAGAATTTCAAAGCAAGATATAATGTAAGATTTTATAAGAGTATTCAAAACAATTGGTCATCTATATACATACCTGTACTCAGCCAGAACACAATCCTTTTACCTGCAATTAACTTCATAGTTTATTAATAATATTATTTCATTTTTCACATGGTAAGTAAAAAATTTTCAAAGAAAATATAATACTATTTTAGTTATTAATATAAGTTGACTTATAAGAAAACATGAAAAATAAAGAACGCATAAAAAAAGTAAAATACCTTATAAGTACATTTGGAGTCTTGTCTTCATAATTCTCATCACTTGAACCTGCAACAAACAAACCTAAGAAAAAAACTAAAGAAAATAAATGACAATAAAGATCTGGAGTTAGATTTCATACAGCATTGCTCGGAAATGAGTAGCTAATCATATGCTAAATTCGTAAGTCCAGACATAACTATAGCAACTTCATCATTGCACACAAACAGTAAAGATTTCATTTTTCAGCTTCAAATAAAATTAAAACTCAGAAAAATCCAATCCAACAAGTGGGAATTTACAGACATACAACATTGCATCAGATTCAGACCGCCCGTCTGCTTCATCTCATCATTGGAAACAACCTTAAAAATTCCAATCAATTCATAAAAGAAAAAACCAACTTTCAAAGTTTAAAACTTTATATAAAAAAAAAAAAAGGCTTTGATTTCGTTGAAAATAGCAAAGGCATCAGATAATAAGCGGAGATTATTAGTCGACATTCATATTTCAGTGTGTAGGATAAGAAACTTCACATCATCTACCTTCACTTTCAAATTCCAACCATAATTTCGTAAAAAAAAAAAAAAGAAAATTAAAACCAAAATTGGCATCAGAACATCAATAAGCGAAAATTTGAATCTACACGGTTCATCAGAGTGTAGGATAAGATAAATATTCATCCTTTGCCATCAACAAAAAGAAAAAAGCAACAAACTTTTTCTATAAAAAAAATATATGGGTAAGTCCTTTTGACACCAAGGCAAAGAAATAAAATGGAATGGGCTGGTAAGCTCACCTTTCACTATCTGCATCCGTTATATCTCCATGAGCAATTGTTTGCTTTTCGCTACAAAAAGGAGAGGGTAAACAGATGCATAAAAAAAAAACAATATTTTTATTTTGATTTCAAGGAGCGATTTTGAGCGAAACAAAATCATTTGAACCAGAGAAGAAAATCAAATGAAAAATATGAAGAAATTGATAGAAAGGGTTGCTAAATCTTTAGAGGCGGCAAGGTTAGGGCTTTTAGTAGTTTAAATAGAGTTTTCAAGGATTAGGGTTTTATGGCTGAGCAGTGTTTTTAACTGGAAGTGTTGACGGTTGAGTCAGTGGCTCCTTTGTTTGGACCTTTCGTGGGATTTGATCAAATTGTGGGGCGCTTGGACCTGTTGCAGCTTCAATGACTGGGCCCATATAGGCATAAATTTAAAATTTTTATTAAGATGGGCTCGATCTGGCTCAGAAGCCCTAGCCTTTTGTAGGTTAATATGGGTAACTTACTGGAATGTCTTGAAGCGGTGGCGCTCTTCATCTGGGCCTTTGGGAAGATCTGATTGAGTTAGTGTATAGTCTATATGTATAAATAATATATTAATATTTGTAAGTCGTTGAAATTCGAATTTAATAAAATTTAAATTTAGTTCGGCTATTTTCAGGTTAAGTTTGAATAATTCAATTTATGTAACGAGTTGAATTTAAATATCTTATTTGATTTGAGTAACTAGTGAACTTTTAAATTTTAATATATTTTTATTATTTTAATTAAAATTATTATTTTATCTTTAAATATTAATTCGAATTTGAATACGTAATCAAATTTAAAATCAAATATGAGAATCGAGTTCATTTTTATTAAATAAGTTTAATCAAATGAATTTAAATGGTTTAATTTTTATTTCGAATCGAAATTAAATTTAAAAATTAAAATTTAATCAAACATGTGTTAGGTTTTTAACAATAAATTTCAAATTAAGTTCAAACTCGAACTTTTCACCGAATCTACTCAATTCAATTATACTCCTGGCTTCACATGCCTGAAATCCTTCGTTGCTTACGAACCTTTAATATTTGCATATAATGAATAGGCAATTTGCAGGAAAAAAAAAATTCACTCCCAACAGAATGTTGTGCTAGTGATAAGCGAAAAGATGAGAGGGAAAAATGAAAAACAAAGAAAACATCATTGGTTGATATAGTTTGCTTTGGTAAAAAATGTTTGGGGCTGAATTGTATGAATAAAAGGAGATCCAACAAGCTTCGTCGATGCAAAGAACTCCTTATTTAATGTGCTTTCATAAGCCTGAGCTTTCATTAGTGTTATCCAAGCCCCTGAGCCTGAAACATCTCTTCGGGAATAGGCAACTCCAGGATAGTCTCCAGCCGCAAGCCATCTTCATTGTCAGAATAAAAAATATTGGGTCTCTTTTCCTTTATATTGAACATCTCCGATCATCTTCCGTTAATGTCTTTCATATTGAATAAAAAGATTACTTATATATGGTTTAAAAAAAATTATTTATGTTATTTAAGTAATTGAGTTAAGTGTTGGAGTGAGTCAAGTTATTTGAGCTTGCTAGAAGTTTTTTTAATAGGTCAGACAAATTTAAAAGCCAAAGATAAGCACTTGAACATTTGAGACACTTGATTTTGTTTGGTAAATAGATTTAATTTTTTTTAATTATTTATTATTATTATTATTTATTTATTTTGAAATATTACTGATTCTAAATAAACATATTTGAACATTAAAAAATATAATGGTATGAATAAATATATCTGAACAGAAAAACATAATTGTTTAAATAAAGTTTATTTAAACAGTAAAACATGACTATACAGAATGTCATGATTTTTAAATTGGCTTTATTGGTGACTATTTATTTATTATAAATAGATATTTTTGCTTGATCAATTTCACTATTTCTGATTTAAAGAGTTTTAAGGTTTTATTATATTCTATAAGTATAATTACTTTTAAGATAATGTTATTCACGCCTCAAAATCATATTTTCTTCTTTCTTATTATTTCTATTTTTCTTAAATTTACTAACATCTTCATCATCAAATTCAAGAACACTAGAACTGGTTTTCTTCATATTTAATATGACAATCTTAAAACCCTAGAGGCCAAAAGAAAATGGAAATCTAGCTTATTATTGCTCTTCTTGCTCTCTCTTGAGATCAGCTGGAGGTAGGAAAGTTTCATTGGACAACCCACAAATATTGAAATCAGCTTGTTTGAACCTGCAACAAACAAACCTAAGAAAAAAACTAAAGAAAATAAATGACAATAAAGATCTAGATCATTGAAATTTATAGTAAAAGAGGAAAGAAGGAAAGAATGAAGTTGGAGGAAGAAAGGGACTCAATTCTCCTTGGTTGCTTTCCTTTATTATGTGCCCACTTGCTCTTCTTTATGCCTTTTACCCTTTACTATCTAAGACCTTAATAAATAAAGAAAGGCAAAAAATTATTAAAATAGATCAAATTATGATAATGGTCTTGAAGTTTATAGTAAAAGAGGAAAGATCTTACTTTTTAGAATAAAGGAGGAAAGAATGAAGTTAGAGGAAGAAAGGGATCGATTCTCCTTGTTTGCTTCCCTTTGTTACGTGCCCACCTGCTCTCCTTTATGCCTTTTACCCTTCACTATTTGAGACCTTAATAAATAAAAAAAATGCAAAAAAATTATTAAAATAGATCAAATTATGATAATGATCTTTATATTATAACAAAATTTAAATTTTAGTCTTTTTACTATAATTCATGAAATTGATTTAATAATCTTAATCTAATCACTAATCTTGTTAGATTTTTGTCATTGACTATTGACTTAATGATATAGACGTTGATTTTGATGATGTGGCATTAACTTTATTAACATAGTAATATGGATGAATAAAATCAATTATCAAATCAGATGCGAATAAAACTTGAAACTTTATAGAGAGGTTTATTAGTTATAGGCACAACTTGTTTTTTTTTTTATTTTTCTCTTGCCAAGTTTAAGGTTTTGCTTGATAGAGGGAAAAGAAAAATGAAAATATGAAAAATTAGAAGAGAAGAAAAGTGAAAATATGGAAAATATATATATATATATATTTCTTTTCATTGAATATTGATGTGTATGGTTGAAAAGATAAAAAAATTAAAAGAAAATATAATTTTATTTTTATTCTTTGCTTGGAAAAATTGAAAAATAAAAGGAAAGGAAGTAAAACTTACATGATTTTATTATTATAATTTTTTGTAAATTAAGATGAAAAAAAAAATCCAAATATGATGAACAATTTTATAAATATGTAATACATTTTCATATCTCTCTCATTTTTTTCTAATTTAGAGTAATATATTTTTGTTAATAAGTGTAAAAAATAATAATCTTTCTTATTTTTTTTCCTCTCATTTTTTTACCAAGCACACTTAAAATCAATTTTCCTTCCGTTTTTTTATTCACCTTTTTCCATTCTTCTATTTTTCTACTTTACCAAGCACAGTATAAGAGTTGATTGCTTGTTATTTTTTGATGTTGTTGTATCCTTGGTTTTATTTATTAATTAAAAAGATTGATTTAAAAAAAATATTAAAACTTTATGATTTTAAACGTTAAGATCTTGACTAATTTTTTTTTTTATAAATTTATGGCATGCATAACAATCCTCCCAACAATCCTTAGCAACCTTACAAGAAGAAAATTTTCTACATTGTCAACTTTACTAATGACTAAAAAACTCTCAAGGGGGATTGCACAAGTTAAAGCTTCAAGTCTAGAAAGAAAACTATCTACTTCAAGCCTTCAAAGGCAATGAAGCAATTCATCACTAAACAAAAGAAGAAAAGTTTACTGTTAATAAGAAAATAAATAATTAGTAAATATTTTAATTTAATAAAAAAATTAATTACAGACAAAATAGTTAATATATGTAGTTTACTATTTGTAGTTTGTAGTTTTGGGGTTCGTTGTTTTATAATAGATTAAAGCCTTATTTGAAAAACCATTGAAATTTTTTTCAACCAAAAAGTATTGAATAAGATAAGTAGGTATAGATTTACTTATCATTTAATGTAGAAAATGTTCAGTAAATTTTTATTTTTAAACTTTTTGAATTATTATCCCTTAAAAACACTGTTTAATTATCTACAATGAAAATAAAAGTAAAATAATAAAATGATAAAATTTTAGAATTTAATATTTTACAGCTAACAAATAATATATTTATATTCAACATTTAACTTTCAATAAAATATCAAACCGTTTTTATAATTCAAATTCAATACTTATTGTATTTAATATTCAGTGCTTAAATTTTTAGATTATAAAAAAAAAAACCCAAGTCTTGGCTGTGGATGGATTCCATTAAAAAAAACTAAATTTAAAATAATAATAATAAGAAATTGGTATTTGCAATTATATGTGTGAATCCTTATCATGATCTTTTGATATGTTTTAATAATGTGGAAAATCAAAAGGTTAAAGGTAAAAATGATAGATTGAGAAAGAATGTCAAAATCAATTCAATAATAACTTGTCTCAACTTATAAAGGAAAATGGAAACTGAGATTTGAAAATATTGGTGCAAATTGATGCTTTATGTGGGAAGATTCCAATTGATAATCGTTAGAAAAAATAAAATTGATGCAATTAATTCTTTTATTGAATTCTTACAACGGATATCCTCTCGTGTGCTATTTTAAAAAAAAAATTGTTCAAAAATTCAGTCATTAGATGTGAAAATGAGTTATCATTAATATTTTTTTATTAAATATGATTAACTACTTAATTGAATCAATTATCTTTAAAGAAATTTTAAATTTGACTAAAATTCTTTAAAAAAAATAAGTTTTAATTTGCATATTATAACTAAATTTAACAATTCGGTTAAGTATGAATAAAATATTATCATCCCACAATGTTTGTCCAAAAATATCACCAATTACTCTTATATTATCACACCACACTATCTGTCCAAAAATGTTATTAATTATTCTTATATTATTCTAAAATGGCCTCAATTAAAAGGGTTTTTTTATTCTAATTAACTAAATCTCATTAAAAATTGGAAACTTTATCAGGTTTTCTTCAATATTTTGATAGAAGTTTTTAAAATTTCTTTTACTTTAAGAGTATTAAAAAAAATCTATTTGTTAACTTGAATAAACTCAATTATCAAATTTATTTTGTATTTTATGAAAAGATTTTTTAATTCCCCCATCAATATTTCATTTTTCTTATTCATTTTCATTTTTTAATTTTTTACTTGAAAGTAAATATAAAATTTTTCTAAATTTCTAATATTCTAGCAAATTCAAAAATATTTTCTTAC